TTATGGTTATAATTGATTTCTGGTGATGAATCCGCTATTACGGTTGGGATTTCCGGTGAGGTCATAATTGAGCTGCATGGAGTTGAATTTCGAGAAGGAATAAACTCTTCTGATATTACCCAAGTCCAATTAGTTGTTTCAGAGATCGGTGAAGTGTTGACCACATTTTCTGGAACAAATTCTAGATTGTTCATAATAATAGATGATTCATTACTTTTTTTTGTCATTTTAATCTTTTCCATCGAAGTTTTCTTAATTTTGCTATTTTGTTTATTACGTTTACATGCTGACGTTTTAAAATCTTTCCAAATAACTCTAGTTGTGGATAAATCTTTCTTTCTATTCTTTATTAATTCCTTTTCCACATCTTGTGCTATTTTTTTATATGCCAATTTCACATGTTCTGCCTCAGAGTTCCAGTGAACACTAACTAATTTTGACACATCTGTCATTTTAAAGTTACATTTCGACATACGAACAAGATGGTCTAAAAAGGCCTTTCTATAAATTAAAAAGGCATTTGGGCTTCTTAAGGTACCACCTCGTGATGACCGTTTAGTGTTCGCCAAAAAATCGGTTGCATCAATGATTGGAGGAAATGGAAGTTTAAAGATTGGTGAAGAGTCATTACAAGGAGATAAAGGTACTAATTGAGGTTCAGTGGCATTTTCAAAAGTTGTGTCATCATTTTGACGATCAGGAATTAATATATCACAATAAACAAAGGTCATTGAAAAAACACGTTATAAAGATTTTTTTTTTTTATATTAAAATTATTCGGGCACAACGTCGTGCTGGAGAAATTCAAGAATTTTGTAATGATTTTATAGAAAAAAAATAAAATGCATCTTTCGAAGAAATTTAATATTATGTGATTTTAACGCGGGTAAAAAAGAATGTGGACGACTAAGAAATGCCGTAAAGATTATCGTCTATCCCAGATTGGAAAATATAAAAATGGATTTTTTATTATTAAATTCCCAATAGAGTAAACAAGGTCCATTAATATAATTTAAACCTAAAAGATACACATTGTGCATTTAAATAATTTAATATCTAACCAGATTATATTAATTATCAACCTATTGGTCACTTTTTAATGTTCCGATTATTGGTGATATGTAGGTACAACGCATCATATTTGATTGTGAACTATAAAAAAGAAATAACTGTAATTAAC